CAGCAGTCAGGTGAATACTGTGAATATTTGCCCATCTGAATGTTTATCATGGTGTATTATGTTGCTTATTTAATCAGGTGGCGGCCTCATCATACGTGAACCAGGTGCTCACACATATTAGATTCAGTCTGCCTGTACACATGCCACTCTTGACGGAATGCTTTGATGTGTGGATAGTTGTGTGTGTATTCATCTTGGAATCTGATTCTTTATAATTGACATGTAAACACAAAGTGCTTTGAAGTGCGTGTGTGGCACAGAGTGTATCTGAAAGTGTGATGCCTGATATCCTCGGGCCATACACTTCACTGTTGGTTCAGCGAAGCCTGTTAATGTGGAGAGATAATCTCTGCCCCCCCCCCATGCTTTTACCTCTCCCAAACTCACTTCCTCTCCACAGCAGGAAGTCCTGGCCTTGTTATACCTTGATAAAGCCATGGAGACATTAGCTTCTCATTGGAGCCTTATCTCCGTAGCTTAATTAACTCTGAGGTGTTTACTCTCTCGATGCCAGGAGAAGAATGATTAGGAGCTTTAATCTTTGACCATACTGTGGTTCATACACCTGAATTTCTCCAACATGACTTCAAGTAAATGTAATTCACCCAGATTACATTTTCTTTTTGCAGCCATACAAAATGTATTATAGCAACAGCAGATTCATTATATCATTAAAAATAGTTTGTTGCTTCAGACATGATATAAAATCCTTTCTGCCCAGTTTTAGTAAGAGACCCATGGACCATATTTACATTACAAAGTAATCATCAGGAATGTGCTTCTGCCTGTATTTGATTGGCCAGCACAGCTCCTTTAAAAAAAATTGTTTACGTTGACCACAACAATTATCTTGGTGATAATTAGTAGTAAGGTAACATTAGTTCTTAAAGGTTTGCACTTGCAACTTGATTTGATGTATCTGGATTGGTTCCAACAACGTGGATCTGTGCGTCATCTTGCTGTGAGTAAGTAGTATTTATGTTACATGCAGTTGAAGGGACAGTCATTGATTAGTGGCACATTTTGATTTCAGTCGGGCCTGTGGTAAAACTCTCTTTGTAGTTTGTCATCTAACAGTTTGCAGACAGCACTGTAGATCTGTTTCTTCATATGACCTTTTCTGAAAGGCTGGTAAGGTGAGAGTTGGCTTTGACATCATTTAACTGGTGTCTGGTTGGTGCCCAGAGGACAAACACTGGCACCACTTCATAGTTGGGTATTGCTAAAAACTTCACAATACAACATGCACAAAGATGCGTTAACAATACAGTTAAATTACAACCCTCCAGTTTAAATGTCTGCACTTGCCAGCACATAATTATGTGTAAATCATACAGTTACTCACTACCTCCCGAACACACAGTAACTGCTTTTAACAGTCTAATTAGGCTCAATTTGAAAACAGGGAGGAGAAAGGGCAGTACCCTTTAGAGGGTTTCTACTCCACGCCTACGACGCCTTTGTTTCCTCACATAATGTTTTCCTTTTGGGTCACCTCTCCCGCCTTTTAGGGCAGTGAAAGTGGATCTGTCCAAGGCCTCTCTATTACATAGCCCATCAGATAGGGAGCGCTAGATAAGTCCCCCCTGTATAATAAATGTCTCATATTTGATCTTCACAGGTGGGAGCGATCTCACAACACTGTAGCCTGGGTGCCTCCCCTGGGACAGCTTGCACAAACACCTGCTTTTGGGAGAGGACAAAAACATGTCTAGTTGCCTTTTTCACACGCACAAACACAATTTGAAAAACACACACACCCTCGTGTAGCCACTTCCCTGTGACCCTGTGCTGTCACTGCGTAGGAAGGTGACAGGTTAACATATCCTTGCTTATTCAGCCCAACCAACCTTTCAGGAAGCTTTATGGTGCGAGTCGTAAACGAGTTAACCCCCAACCTAAAGCCCTCTCCCCACGCCACGCCTCCCTACAGCGTTCAAGAGAGAGCGCCGTTGCCTGGTTGGTTCAAAGTTCAGACGCAGGGCCCGACAATCATTGACACAGTAAAGCGACACCATTTTAATGGGAAGAAATAAAAGCGGAACATAAGAAAGGTTGGCACCAGAATAGACAGGAGATCATAAATACAGTGGAAAGTCAATAGTGGAGGCAGAATGTCAGGCCGCCTTGTTAGCAGGTATAGTATTGCACGGCTGTGGTCTGAATGGAAGGCTTTGGAGACATGGGAGGCAATCCTAGCTGTGAGTTATGTTTCCCGAGCTACACGGGTATGCAGTACTTGTTCCCTGCTTAGCATTCACTAACAGTCAAAGCTGTGGCCTGTCAATCGTTTTTCAGTGTGACACTTTCCTTGGAGATTATTGGCCACCCCCGGGGCAAGGGTGTGTTCCACTAGACAGCCCAATCCAACCCTGCCTCTCTGCCCCACCTATAGCTTCGGTTAACTCTAGGACACGTTGTGCACTGTTATAATGGAAAAACAGTGACCTGCTTTTATGCCCGCCACCCTGTTGATTGTGTTTTTATCAGCCGTGGTGTACAAAGAACTCAGATCTTTTACTTAATCAAAAGTAAAAATACTACAACGTCTAAAGGTAAAAACTGTATTAGCACCAAAACATATTTAAAGAACCAAAAGAAAATGTACTTATGATGCAGAAATGCACATTTTAGAATATTACTGCAATACAATTATTGATTAGTTAATCATTTGATTACTTTAATCTTGCAGCTGGTACATTTGACTTGTTTGTAAAACTCCTGAGAAACTTAAAACTTAATAATACATGACAATTTATTTCAAATATTGCCCTCTGAATTGTGGTGAAGTAGAATTATGAATTAACAGAAAGTTAATTCACAAGTACCTTAAAATTGTAGTTAAGTAAAGAATTGAATTGAATGCTCGGAAAAAATGTAACACTAAAATAAAATTGAAAAATAAGAATGCAATGGCTTTTAGAAAGAAGGTGAATCTCTGTTGCAGATTTCACTAAAACGTGTACATGAATCAATATTATTAATTTACTTTATTGTGAGCCTCACAGCCCTTTGTTAATCATTCTTAAGATAGAGCTTTGAAGCGTTGCATTGTTCGTTGTTTTACCGTTATTCAGATGGCTTATCTAATGTAAATAGATGAAAGGTTATTTATATCAGTTAGCTATTTTAAAACTACAATCAAAGTTTGTTTTTCCAGCAGTGGAAATAGTCAGCTATGCCTCCCTCTTTAAAGAAACATGGATTACATTTAGGCATTTAGGTATTCTCCAGTATGTATCCTTGAGTTCACTGAAGGGTAATCCATACGCAGGCTTTACTCCATAGCCAAGTTAACTGAGGAGCTGACCCCTGGCCTGTGTTGTTGTTGTTGCCAGTGTTTGTTTCCAGTAGCAATGGAAACAGGCATTTCCCAATTTTATCTCCCCCTGCTTCCTCCACTGAACAGATTCAGTCATTGAAACCTGCACGCTTCACTCTGTCATCGTCTACCCGCTTCTTTAGCCCCTATATTTTTAGATCTCTTATCTGATATTGTCATGGCAATGCAGAGTAAACAAACCATTTTGATAGCGGTAGGTTTTTCAGTTGGAACCTGTCTCTGGGTCCTTTGATCAGAGAGGCCTTTTATTCTGCCAAGAAGCTTGAGAACCTAGGAGGGGGGCTGGAGTCACAATTAAGCAGCTAGAAGAGCAGCTGTGTGCCACCACTCCTTCCTGAATATGAGGAAAAAAGGAGTAGAGTGAACACTTTGGCAAAGTTTAAAAACTGAATTAACCTGGAGGTATCTTTAATCCCAGGTTAATCTTCCATAATATCAGTCTGATACTATATCAAAACTCTAAACCCTTATTCAAACTGGACTTCCTTGCAGTGCCTGAATCAGTAGCCTTCTCAGATGCAGAACATTGCAATTATTATCATTTATTTACTTGAATCTTCATTATTTTGATGGTCAAAATACATTACACAAAACTGCCAGCCATGGATAACCCCAAAACAATTTAATAATGAACCAGAAATATTTTTCCACTTCTTAACCGGTGGGGTCCATGCAATGTCAGCATGGGGGAATTAACATGGTGGGTCAGAGACAGGGCGCTCTTTTTTGGAGGATCCCTTCGTGGGACCTCCCAGAGCTGACTTTGAAAAGCCCCGGGTAAATGTGTTTATGATTGAATTGTTAACAAACACACTTCTTCATAGACCTTGCCTTAGTTTTCCTCATTGAGTGTGCCAGTTTAACACAATTATGCTTGAAATGTAAAAAAAATTCGGACTGGTCATTGGGAGCACAAGTTGGCTAGCACTGACTGTGCACCAACCAAAGAGAAAGGCGAAGAAAGAGCACACCTCCCGGCCAATTGGCTATGAATGGTAAAACCTTACTGTGGGTGCTGTCAGGTGAAGACATCCTTGGCACCATCCTGATCAGTTATCATGATAGTTGGAAGAGATGGCAAGCTGTGATTGTTTGGGGTCTTGTGTGTGCCTGCAATGTCTCCTGAACCAAGTCCTGATTCGAATGTATGACTAAGTTGACATGTTAAGAACATTTTCTTCACTGTAACCTTTTTTTGATATAGCTTAGGAACACAGGAAACATTGCCATTCAATAGTTCTTAATTATAGTCAAATTTAAAATAAAAGGCACATTTCCGTGTTTGGAAGTTGTTGAATCTTGTAACGGTTGAACTGTCTTGTTACTGATTGACAAAAAGCCCCTCAGCAATGTTTGTGGGGAATGACGTGTTTACTTGTTTATCCTTCTGTGGTTGTACATGTCATGGTGACTTAGCCAAAGTAATTGAGTGTGGTTGGAGAGGATATCAGCTGGAGTGTATGATTGTGGGATAGGGGGGATGGTGGCATTGATGGAGTAGGTGTGTAGCTGTGTGTTCTCGTTTGTGTTTATGCGGGCAGAAATGTAGGTGTTTGTGACAATGCGTGCATGTTGAGTTGTGCATGAGCACTGAGGCTCTACATTGTGAGGTCATTGCTCATTGGCCCTTTTGTGGGGGTAAGGTTGGGGAGCAGTGATGCCTGCTACAGAAGGGGAGTGTGGGAACCAACTGGCCGGTGCACAGAGGATGGGGGTGGGGGTGAAAGATGAGGTAAATGTTCTGGAGCTCAACAATCAGCATGTTGATGTCTTCACTGGGTGGCCTAGTTCTATGGGAGCCGCAGAACAGAGCAGGTCGCTGGGTCTCAGGGCGCTATGGGAGCTCTGGGTGAGGACCAACGTGATCTCATGGGAAGGCATATAAATAGAATGACACTTTTGAGGACATTTCACATTTCGTGTCATATAATGCCCCGTTCTCATTTTTGTGTGTAATTGAACCCACATTCTACCTGCACTTTGGATGAACCGTCCCAATTTCAAAATCATGGTTATTGTGTAATTTCAATCAAAGCAACTTGCTTAGATCTAGTCCGTTTTTGATTTGGGTTAAATAAAGGATATTTGTTATGTACATTTGGTTACGTATATAAGTTAAGTAGTAACCTGCACATATATCCAAGCAACAAAAATCGGTTTATGGTTTAGTAAAATTGGGTCAGTTTAGTCTTTATAGAAGAGGCCCGGTATTAACCTTAAACCCGGAATTTAAGGCCCGGTACCTAACAGTGTTGAAAGGGTAGAGGGGATGACAAGGGACCGCAGGCCGGATTCAAACCTGCGTCCGCCACAGCAGGGGCTGAGCCCCATTAAATAACCACTGGGCTTTACGGCAGCCCATAAAGATGCCTTTGCGTGAACTAAGTTACAAACATACGTTGTCAACATAAACCTGCATATATAGACGCACGGTCGCTGATTCAAACATTGTTCATGTTGTGATTTCCAGCAGAATGACATGTTCAACATAATTAACGGTTGACTTTTAGTTTGAGAGGTGATACAAACCGCCGACCCCTGGATGAAATCCTTCACATCCCCTCATCTGACTTCCAGAGCACTTTCTCTGATCATATTATTGCTGTGGCTTGAAATGAAGCACAAATAAGCTAAAATAACTTCAGAAATCATTGTGTTATTCAAACATTTAGTGAAGCCAGGCTGCAGGGACTCACTACACCATCTTCCTAGGTGATGGATGAGCTGTGCACACTGCTAAAAATAACAAGATGGAATCATTCCACGAGGTGTCAAAATATGTACTCCACTTGATACCGAATCCAACAACATGCAGCATACGGTATGAATGGACTCAAGGCTTGTTGTGCGTGTGTATTAAGATTTGTTGGCTTTCTTATGCAATGGCATAAAGAGGCTGATAGTTTACGTCTTTTAAGGTATATCTCCTCAAATTAATGTTGTAATTGAATCATTTATTCGCAACATATTAAAAACAATTGATGAAAGCATGGCTGAACCAATTAATTTTCTCGTGAATATAAGCTTAGACCTTTAAAGAAAATGTGTTAGTTTGTTAGTAGTACCTCTAGTGGGATTGATCAACATTTTTGGTACCCACCTTATACGTTTTCTTTGTTGTGTGTCATCATCCATGAGCATTTTTATCATTTTGGGGTTGTTAAAAACATGTATAGTTTCATCCATAGCCATTTGTCAGCCAATAGAAATGTTCTTATGATATTTTCTGTCAAAGTCAACATTGACTAAAATCTCTTGTGGTCAAACATGACGAAAGGACCCAGCTTGCAAATTGTATTCACGCTCCTCAAAATCTGTCTTTGATTGTGTAATGGGCGGTGCTATGTTGGCAACACATCATAAATCAGTATCTTGGTTCTGGGAATCTTAGCTTTGGCACAGTTAGCATTGCTTTTCTCTAGAAATCACATGAATCATCCTTGTGGTAATAGCCTTAGATGTCTCTGTAACTCTATGTCTGAAGAGGCAGCATCATTTCCTTCTTGGCAACACAATACCCCCAACACTCTTTCGAGCTAGTCTTTATATTTATATTTTTTTCCAAGCACAGTTGGCTCCTGTTGGAACAATGTCAAAGCCCAGCACTCCCACCACACCCCCCACTTTGGAGTGAAATCTTAACTGCCAGCACTCAAAGCCTGTCAATGAAAGGCCAGCTGTTCCCCGCCCTCTTTCGGCCTGCCCAGGCCTCCGTTAGATGCTAGCCTCGATGTTCGCCCCCCCCTCCCCAACTTACACACTCTCTCACAAACACACACATACAGAGAGAGTCCGGCCTCGTGTGAAAGCATGAAATGCCATTACCGGCAGGCGTCGGGTTACGCGGGCACAGAACCAAGCTATGTCCCCACACTGCTAACGAAGGAAGTGTTGAGAAGCGTATGTGCTACATGCTAACTGCGCTCCCAGCATGGCACCGTTGCTCTGCACTCTCTCTTTCAAACACATACAGGCGATTCTTGGGGCCCCTGGTTTAAGGAGCACAATTCTGTAAAAGTTAACCATATGACAGAAATAGAACGCAGTAGTCTTTAATGTTCGAGTCCCCTCAGGAAAACACAGGCTGCTGGTGGGACCTCAAGGAAGAAATGAAGGCTTATGTGGTCAGCTGTAAGAGAAGAGATCTTTGACTGTTTGAAGCTGTGGCTAATCAAACAGTGCGGAGGAATGTCAATGCCAATAACAGCCTATAGAAAATGAAATATGATTACAGCTGATGTTGACCATGTTGTTCACTCCACAATCATACGGAAACAACAGCCAACATTTGTATTTTAACTTTTTTGTACCTTCAACACTAATCAGTGCACTAATGAATGAATTTGTTAATAAAAAATGTTACCTGCCAAACATCAGTATGTTAGCATTGTCTTTCTCTTTCTCAAATAATTATGGCCCACCTGTCCCAGGAAGAAAATAGATTAAATGGGACATAACATGGTCATCAGCTTTGTAGTTTTATTTTTGGTTTATGCTTGCAAACTTGTTCTATAAACTTATAGAACAAGTTTACATGCTCTAATGTTGAAAAACTACTCGAGCCTCCATGCCCCTATACGTTTGTGCACAAGCGCTAAAACAATGAGTTTCTCATGATACCTTTCCTTTTAGAAGCACTTTACTCCCATTAAGTAACACCAGCAATTTTCGAACAGATAATTATTTCAATTTTGGCCATGAAAATAATGTTTTATTCTTGAGGGTATCCTTATTTGATCATTTTGATTATAGCTTCAAGCTTTTTAAAAACTGTTCCCGGTGTGTTTTTACACTTACCTGTCAAGAATAGCAGAGTAAATAGCTCCCAGCTCAGTTGTATGAATTTCCTTTATTAACATCATGCATGGTACCAAAATAGTGTTTTTAGACTGATACCACACTGTTGCTGCAGATGGTAGTCGTGGTGTTTTTCACTTTGGTGGAGAGATTGGTTTACTCTGCACGTGGGAGGCATGCTCTGCATAGCCTGAGGATACACAACCACATATCCTTTGCATCTGATATCATCTCCTATCACATCTTGAATTTCTTCCATCACAGGCTGCTTTTTTTCAATATATTTTTCCTGCTCTTTCCTCGCGCTTCTCTTTGTCAGAGTCGGGTTAGCTTTAATGAGTGGACTCCATTGTTACTTGGGGCAGCCGCCTGCTTGCAGCTGTGGATGAAACTATCTGGTGTATTTGGCATGGTGCCCGTCTTCGGCCTTAGTTTCTAACAGGAGGAGGAGGAGGAGGAGGAGGAGGAGGAGGAGGAGGAGGAGGAAGAGGCCAGGGCATTGGATGTGCTTGATGTCGACTGATGGACAGCAGGCAGCTTGCCATGACTGCAGGAAAACAAAAGTGCTTTTCTAATCTGTTCTAGACATGAGTCTATGAAAACTAAATACTGGTGGAGAAGGACAAGAAGTAACTGTAGATGAACGATCTAACAGCACTTGATAGGGAGTTTCTTTCTGTTCTTTTTGTTAGTGGCGTTTCCATATTTGGTCTCTGATGTTTTACTTGTTTCCAGTGCCCATATAGTATAATCTGCTTGTACAGTTTTCATGTGACTGCAGTATAAACTGAATTCAACCCGAAGGCTCCACTGTCCCCTCAGTCATTATCAAGGCCTATCAGATGCTGGTAACAGTCAGACATAAGATCTCTTATCATTTGATCTGCCTGGTGCCTTACTGCCCAATGGGGTTAGTTTGCTGTGGACTTCCCTAGCATCTGTAGAACTCCATAAATAATCTCTGACGTCGGCAGAGGGTCCCGTAGTCCTCATATTTCCGCCGTATGAAGGTGATGAAATGCCTGTTTTACAAATCACCCAGATTAGATTTGTGAAGTCATATACACAGTCTGTAGAACTCCATCAGGGTCTTTAAGCAGCACAGTTTAAGATAAGGAACAACCGCCATTTCTACTGAGTGAATCAGTCACATTTTTCATACATTCAAATACGTTTCAATTGTTAGTGAATTTGACAATCTCCGATCTCTTTGAAATCACAAATGTAGATGATCGGTGACTAACGATGGATTGATCATTGAGACCTTGCTTGAAGCAGATCATTATTCGGCCTATTCAGTCATACTCTGTATAATGTATAGGAAGTAGTTACTTTTACGTCATCCATTGGTTTGTGGACTATGGTTTCGAACCTCGAGTTTAGCATTTTGGCAATAGGCCTCTTGGTTTTGTGGAATCAGAAGTGACATGAGAGAGCAAAGCAAAGCACATTTGACATGAGAACAAGTCGTTTTTAAATTAAATCTGTCTGTAAGTAGCAGACACTACTACTTAAAGCTGCCGAATGTTTGAATCTTGAATCTTGAGGCCATAAACTTATGAAAATGGGGTAATAAATCAAGTGAGAAGTAGGTTATTTATTTCTTATAGACTTTTTGATTGCCTCTTGTTTTCAAGACTGAACTTGTGATAGGTGTGCTTTTACGAAGAGCAATAATCACTATAGTTACATAACTCATTTAAACATGGCAACAATGCTGTCAACTTTGGCTAAAAGCATGATGCTTACTGCATGTGGTTTGAAGTCGTGTTACTTGACTGTCTTGAATACATGTGGAGTTAGTAACCATTTAGTGTCTGTTTTTGTTCTTGAGTCTTCAAATTCCAAAACTAGGGAGTTTTATATTTGTTCCAAAACAGTGTACGAGCTGCAGTAAGCCAAAACAATCTGGAGAAGTCATTGTTGAGTCATTGGTATGTTTCAGAATGGAAATGATTGTGTTGTTTTGTGATTGGTGGTAAATAATAATGTTTAGTAGTCCTTTACTAAGTACACGTCTTGTTTTGCATTCCTCCTCTACCATCAGACACA